TTTTTATTACCACTGTACATTTTAAAGCTCAGTTTTTAAACCCTTGTGATGTAACTACAGCCCAGCCCATGCAGCAATATATTAATGACTAACCTCGTATTGTGGATGGATTATCTCAGTTGTTCTCTTGACTGAAGTTTGGTCTGTTTACAGCATCCTGCCGTGCAGTTGCATTTGTCCCTAACCCTCGTGAGTTAGCGTTCATCCTCCAGCTTCACTGTGCTAATGTGTTTATATTATGCTAACCATAGCTGTGTAGCTAGCCACCATGTAGCACATATGAGCTAGCCCAACTTCAGTAACCCTACAGACGTCACTGTTGTTTAGTTTCCTGTCTTCATTTATGTCCAAAGTGATAGCAAAGCTGTATGTTTTAATTTTTTAGGAATCCCTCAATCAGAACGTGGTATATTATTTAATCTTCATTTTTTCTTTTGAGACTTCCTACGTACCACTAGAGGGGGCCCACCTACCACCAGTGGTACGTGTACCACAGTTTGAGAACCACTGGACTAGAATATACAGTGTCCTACTCCTTCAAGACGTTTAAGCATCAACAACAGACTTATTCCAGTATTAGGAAGGAGGGACTAGTAATGACCCTCACCTTAAATTACTTTGAGGTGTAGAGTATACAGGGCCCCATTCCTGACTTCTGATATTTTCCATATTTATCAGACGTACAAATTTCATGTCATCAAACAAATTTTGCTATTAGACAAAGACAAGTAAATTGATGTATACTCTGTACAGAACTTCTGTCAGTGAAATGTATGTTTAAATTGTTGTTGCGTTTGCACTGTCTTGTATCTCTATCCCATGTAGCAAGCAGGTCTAGCCCGGATCTGGTATCAAGCTGGCACTGCTGGCTGACTTCTGGCATGGTAAGACATATGTCATCCAGATATGGGCCAGGCATAGATGGCAGCATTTATGTGATGGCATGCCACATCTGGCCCGATTGTGGATTGGTTTATGTGGCCCAGGCTCATAGAAAACAGGTCTGGCCCGGATCCGGCATCAAGCTGGCACTTCTGACTGACTGGTGTATGTCAACCAGATGTGTGCCAGGTCTGGCAATGATGGCACTAGTTATGTTCCTATTTTCCTATTTTAGTTAGAAGACCCAAATGCCATGTTGCAATACTATACTGCTATGGTAGCCAACGTTTCAAATGCAGGTTTGACAGGTTTGTGAGTGTACACTTTATCCAAAACCTAGTAAAGATTTACTCATGTTTACCACTGTGTGGCTGTAGCTCAGGAGGTAAAGCCGGTCACCTACTAATCGGAAGGGTAATGGTTCGATCCCTGGCTCTTCCAGTCTGCATGCCAAGAGTATGAATGTAGTTAGGAAGCACTCAGTTTAGACAAAGTGTGTTAATGTGACATGTTGCATAGAGCACTTTCAGTAATCTGGGATAGTGAAAAGGGCTATATAAGAATCAATCCATTCATTGTCTGAACAGAGTTTCTTCATGTTACTTTTCCACTATTATATTCTGGCGCATGTTGTTATTGCATGTCTTGATTAAGGTACACATTAGGCTGACATCTGGGGCCAGAGCTGGAACTGCTCCGGGCCAGCACAGGACCACCAGTGTGTCTGCTGCTGGTCCATGTGTGGGCCACATCTGCCAAACCAGATCTGGGCCACCAAAGGGCCGTCATTCTTTGCGGTGTGTGGGCCAGATCCGATCCATACCAATTTTGCTATGTGGGATCGTTCTGTTCTGCCTGGTGTTGCACTGTTTTTTTGCACTCCCTATGTTGACTGCCTGTTATATAAATGACCGTAATTTTGAAGGAACGCTGTCTGGTTTCACTGTGACTACCACTGCACATGGTTGAAATGACAATAAAGCCACTTGACTTGAAAAAATACCCTTCATAAATAAACTTTCATTTTTAATTACCTTTTAATAAGAATTTAAAAAAAAATTATTACTACTTAAAACTACTATCATTAGGGCCGGAGCATTAAACGTACGAAGACCCTACTATAATCACTTCTAATGGCTTTTTGAGGCCTTTAATCTGCTTGAAAACTCATGAAATTTTGCCAACAAGAAGCCCGTCATTTTGAATTGAAGATGGCATTTCAGGAGATTATTCATGGTGTTATACTTTTGCCAACTCCTCCTTGTTTTTTTGTAGGATCAACTTCATATTTGGTTAGTCTCAACTACAAACCTGGGTCATAATGTGGAGTTTTTGAGTTTTCGTCAAAAAGCATGGCCGTGGCGACACAGCAAATTTCAATCATCTGTCACTTGCAGACAGCTGAGAAACTAAGGGGCTGCACCAAGGTCCAGTATATGATAAAGAAGGATTATTTTGAATTGTGAATCATTCAAAGCTACTCTAGTAAATTCCCAAAATAAAAATATAGAGCCAGAAATGGAAATAATAGGCTGCCCTTTGATGTCTTCATCTTTTTCACAGCCTAAGGACTGTGGACTCGCTAGTGTGTCCAAAACTTTCTCAGGGAAAATAGTCAAAGCTTTTAAGATGTTACAGATGAGCCACTTTGATGATGAAGAATCAAAAGCACCCACCCTGTCCTGCTTCTATATAAGCTAACACCAACCTGTTTGTGTGATATCACTTTGATTGGCTCTGTCGCTGCATTGTAAAAAAGCCCTGCAGCAAGCCTAAGACGCCTTTCTCCATTCTCTCTGTCTCTGTCTTAGTGTTGCTTCTCCAGGATGAAAATGGCATGATGACGCAGGTCGCACCAGCAAAGGATGACTCACTGAGCAGTAAGTGCACATACACTTAATGCGTAAGCACGAACACACACAAACACACAGACAAAAAGCAGCAGACTCCTCAGTTTGTATTCCTCACAGATAGCGCATCATAAATATCCTAATTGATTTCAAGCAGCTGCATGGTTCTCGTTCATCATGTCTCCATAATATCTAATGATTCTCATGCTATGCTAGATAAAGAAGCAGGATGATGAAAATATTTTAGTAAATTACCGCTGAAAAGTGGCAACCAAGTGACACTTATCCATGAGAGGAGACCACATTTCAAAGAATGCAACATCAATTTCAGCCAAAGATAATGCGTGAGATTAATTTGCATTTTGTATTCGTACACATATCATGTCTTCTAGCTTTTGTAGCTAATGGTACACACTCTGTTATACTACCCATGTTCTGTAATCATTGCAGTGGATAAATCTTAGCACAAAGAGTAAGTGAATTTGTGTTTGGTTGATTATTTCTTTGCTTCTAACAATGCTTCTTGGCAATAAATCTTATATCATTGGAAAGCCTGTTTATTTCCCATTAAATGGTGTCACATTTGTAAGAACAAAGCATTTGTGGGTAGAGCAGCAGTTGGGTTGTGTGTCACACCCATGAAAAACTTGACAACGCCAAACAGCAACTGCTATTGACTGTTGTTTAGTGTTGTTTATTGGATTGGGTGATTGAAGTCTGAAAAAACAAGACATACTGACAATTTATCAATTTAACAACCGGGGGGGAGAGGCTCAGTAGCATGTGGAAGAACCACACATGGCTCTCTGGAGGTAGTGATCTTGGGCCGCTTCGCTCACAGATTGGGTAGGGTAGCTTGGGTAGGCTGTTCATGCAAAAGTGACCAACACAGCCACATCTGACAGCAGCGTGTTGCTGCGTGCAAAAACTGTATTTCAGTGTTTGCTATTATCCATACACACACACACACACACACACAATAGCAGCCCCTCTCGGGTAACAGGCATCTCCGAAAACGTTAGAGCACTTTTGCAAATATGTGATGTCTTGATAAATTGAGCAGGTATTTGAAGTTCACACAGCAACATTCTCGCATGAAAATATCTTAAAAGTTTATTTTGTGACCCAGAAAGAGTAATATTTCAAACTCCGCCACTCTGTGTTCCTCCGCCGCTGCCTCGTTTCGAGCTGATTGGAGACCAAAACAGACAATCAGATTTTTTTGCATCCAAGTCTGTGATTGGCTGGTTTTGTGGCACAAATATAACGGTGTACAGAAAGAGTTGAGCGTGCACGAGCAGAAATGTTGAGAGCGCGAGCAACACATTGCGAGCAAGCGCAAATGCAAAAACTGAGCGAGAGGGGCTGCTATTGTGTGTGTGTATGGATAATAGCAAACACTGAAATACAGTTTTTGCACGCAGCAATGAATTTTGTTCACTCAAATTTAGCTTTTCTTTGCTCAAAATAAATTTCTCCTCAAAATGCAACACTTGCACCTGCAATTTTTTTTTACGTGCGCTCAGAATAGTGGCACAAAAATAACGCCATAAAATTGCACATTGCTTACCATTTGCATACAGATTCATCCTTTTTCTGTTGCCATTACTCTTTTTTTTATCTCATTCTTGAACCTGAATGACCTCTTGGTTATTCACGATTTGTTGTTAAAGCACCTACAAGCCTCTATATTAAGGAAATCCAAGTTAAGCCAAGAAATCACTGGGATTTCTAAACATTTTAAAATAGTATTCCAAGTTCTTAGACTTCACTAGAATGTTATAAACACACTGAATATACTGCATGAAAGAGTAAAGTCAGACACTACAAGACTCCCTTTGCACTGAACTGTTTACTCCAAGCAAATTTGAGATTTTAAAACTTTATATAACGCAGTTAGAGCCTGTCCAGAACTGCAATAATGACATAATATGATATTGTCCAATAATGATTTTAAACAATTACACTTATTAATCAAGGTACTGGTGTGAGAAATTAGCCTTAGAGTTGTTGTTTTTTATACTTGTCTCTTACAAATATACCATACAATGAAACCTGCTTTAGTATCAACAGACAGAATATGCAGGTGCATGTAGGAATGAACAGCAAGGTGGAGTGTTGTTCGAGATGTTGAGCAGGTGGTGCTTGTGATGAATGCAGACAGAAGGGTGAATGTACTGGGGTGTGAGGGTGTCAATGGCAGGGACTCACTCTGGCCTTGGCAGCAGGGGTGGAGGGGTCTGATGTCTTGTTGTTCGGGGTGGAAGAGACCTGAGGAGACAACCAGCCTGGTCAATACAGCCTCCAACCAACCACATGCTACACCACAACGAGGTGTAGGACATGGGTGTGATCAAAATAATGCAAATGCCTGGACCAATTGTGTGTAATGGATGTTAGAGCTACTTAAAAAAGAAGCAGAAGAACCAAATACATTAACCAAATGTGTGGGTGTATGAATAATAATATATATTTGATAGTAGTGGCACCGGTTAAATGTTAGAATTTATTTTTGGGACAACTTAGCATGAAGATCAGAAGTATTGTGCATTCAGAGGGTAGAAAACTGGAACAGATGGAGCCTTTTTAAAACATGACATTAGTACAAATGTTGTAACATTTTTCTTTTGTTAGTGACAAAAGCTAATCAAATACCATCATAAAAAAAGAGTGTCGGATTATTTATACAGTCTGAAAACAACAAATCAAATGTCACATTTCTGGAGTGTACCACTGCTCACATAAACAGCACTGATATTATTGCTAAATACTGAGGTGGGAAAGGCTATTAGTCACATAAACTCCTCCTGAATAGAAAATGTAAATATATGAGAGACAAAGCAATTTAGTATCACAAGAGACTGAATGAGTCAGGGCCAGTAATTATGACGCAGGGCACCGATGTGTTTGTGTAAAGAAGCTTTCATAGAGTAAAAGCGTGTTGTTAAAAGCAGGGAAGATGCTCCTGTGAAACACAATGCCTGAAAGAGTGAATGGAGCGGTTAAGTGCAGTTCATAGCAATATTTTCCCCTCCGACTGCTCTTTTGTTACACACAGAAAAGTACAAGGTCTGGGCAATTTCACAGAACTATTTGCACAGAAAGCAACAGCTCCTTTTCTACAGTAATCTAACTGTAATTGGCCATACAATCATGACTAAACGCTACAGGTTGTGGAAGTTAAGCGTTGCTGAAAAGGTGCATGGATTGTGTTCCCCTGAATGGGAGTAGCGGTGACGTCTATGCTGGATACAACAACACCCAACCAAACACTGCAGTATGACCAGGCAGGAGAAAGTAATGGAATGTAAATAGATGTGAAAGGAAGATATTAACATATTATTTGTTAATCATTGTGCATCTATTTTGGAGCACAGAAAGACACTTTGTATCTGCAATTTCAGAAAAAGTCACTACAGACACATGGAAATGAAACTGATGTAGCTAGTGCAAAAGAACGCAAATTAACGTTGACTATCTAGAGAAACACAAAAACATACAAACAAGTGGACAAAATGTCAACAAGTGTATGAGGAATGCAACTGCTAGTTGTGAGAACATTTAAATATAATTCAACATTTTGCAAAGTAGACGTTCTTGATCAGCCCCGATTATCTGAATGATCAACATAAAGCTTGAACCCATTAGCTTAGTTATTAGCATTCAACCCTACCAGAACCTCTGAAGCTCAAGAATAAACATATTTTATTCTGATTTCATTGTGTGTGCATGTCCGTAAATTTGCCTGACTGTATTTTGCTACTCTTTAGCTAACACTACGGAAGCTAGTGTGACATCAACCATTTTCATGGCTGCAAAACAAAAGACGATGCCACCAGGAGCTGTAGGTGCGAAACACTCATTTGTTAATGACAAGTCATTAGCCAATTAGCTTGTGATTTTATAATAGACATAATTCTCGATTTTGAAACATGATATGACCAAGTTTTATAAAACTGACTTCATTTTTTATTCAGTATGAACCAAAACAAGTGAACGAGCCTATTAACCTGTAAACAGACAGCAAATCACCGTCCGCTGGCCCTCAGATAGAGAGCACTTTACGTACACAGCGTGAGGCACTTCCCCATTAGCTTTTTTTGTTTTTTTCATATTTGGAAGCCACGTCCATGTTTTCTACTATCTGTGCATAAACAGAAAACATTCACTGCTTAAAGTAAAAAAAGACATATTAGCCATTTCCCTGCTTCTGTTTTCCAAGCTTATCCAATTGATTTCCAGCTCGAGCTTTAGTAAGATCAAAACGTCTGAGAGAGACGTCAAACTTCTCATTAACTCCCAAGAAGAAAGAAAAAAATCCCTGCACATTTTCCAAAATGGCTACTTTCTCAGCACAATATTGTTCTGAGGCAAAAACCACTCTCTGACAGACAATAGAGAAGATATAATGGATAGAGTGGACACATTATTTCACATGGCAGGGCAGACAGAGAGAGGATGATGCCTGTGATTCAAAGCGACGGCACACCCCTTCCTCTAGACACTCTGTCACATAACATTGAAGGGAGACGGACAACACAGTCATGTCTCTGATCCATGTCATGACATGCTGGGCAACTTTAGGGTGGTGGAATACAGGTAGCATGCATGCTTCCTGTTCTGTATGTCATTCTGAGATAGAACATCATCTGTCAGAACATGTGCATTGCAGCAAAATGTTGTTAAAAAGTGGATATTTCAGAAAGAGGAATATGTTAAAAGATTGATGTTAGATGGAAGCTGGGAAACGAATATAGAGTTGTAAAGTTGCTATTTTCTCAGTTAACATGTACACACCCTTTAAAATGCCCACAGCGCAGAAGTGACATGTTTCTGAGTTATTGTTATTTCAAATGGTGTCAAATTATATACACTCAGTAGCTCATGTGAGGATTGCTTTTCTCTCTTACTCTCTTCTCGTTTGGCTCTCAGCGAAGGCGGTCGCACTTTTCTCCCTTATCTTCCCTGCTTAGCTTCTTATGTCCTTGTCTTGTCTCGTGCTTTTTTCACTTCCCTGGAACACTCTCACAGTCTGTTTCTAAAACCTAAAGAGAATTATGGATTTGATCAACTGGTCTCTGAATGCTATTGACACCCTTTTCTCAACGAGAAGTCTGGGCTCGGGAGAGCCCGAGTGCCCTGGAGGGACTTTCCCTGCCAGATACACGATGGACGGGTGGCAGAAATGGAGGATCGTGTGCCTGGCGGGACTGTCCTATTCGGAACCATGATAACAGGGTTCTTGCTGATCGCAGCTGGCTTGGCCCTGGCTTATCGGAGAATTAAGAAAGCGGAACCGGCTGTTCAAACCCCCCCAAGGCTGCCCGCTGGGATTGAAACGATGGGACGAGGTGCGGCTTCTCAGAAAGGGCTCACTGAAGGCAGCATGGTTAAGAGCTTGGAGGCGCTAACGACTGCAGTGAAGGCTCAGAATAACACCTCTGAGCATATATTGGATTACATCAGGGAAGAATCCACTCGGAACAACACCTCTGGATTACATCGCGGATCAGTTGGCTGCGGTCGTGAAGTCTCAGCTATCCAACGGGAGATTGAGAGACCAGTGTCGGAGTGTTAAAAACAGCTTGAAATTCTCATGAGTTGTTTGTAAAAGAAAAATCCCCATTATGATGCGGCTACCCCTTCGGCGCCAGCTGTGGGCTCAAGGCCGGAGCCAAACAAAAACTCCCTGATAACGACTGTGTTGAGTCTGTTCCTTCCC